TGCAGTATGTTGATGATATATTTACATGTCTTGCGGGTCAGAGGAAGCAGACGCTCAGTCTGGACGGTGCAGTGATCCTGCACCCCTGAGGAATGATGTAAGCAAAAGCACGCTGAGCTCATAGTGTTTTCTCAGTGTATCTCATTAGTGAGCGTCCTCTCTCTTCTATAACGTTATCCCAGTGTAAATGAACAAAAACACTCCATTATGTGCAAGTTTAGAACAGCCTGATCTGCCCCACAAGTAATGATATAGATATTATTACTAATTTGGAAGCGTATGCTAGGTCTGTGTGATTTGGGGAAATATCTAAATGTGATTTATATATATATATATATATATATATATATATATATATATATATATATATATATATATATATATATATATATATATATATATATATATATATATATATATATATATTTTTATGATTTTTTTTTTTGACAGATATTGTGATTTTGATTAGCAATTTAATTTTGTAGTCAAACTTGAGCTCAATAATCGGTATTGTAGCTTCTTACTTCTAAAATGCAGTGAGTGTATAATTTAATGTCTAATATGCATATATTAGATATTAACTCCAACATTTATTCAATATTGTTTTTAAATGATCAGAAATTAAATTTAAAAAAATTCTGAAGGTGTGAGCAATCAGTAAACAAATAAAATGACCGTACCTTACTGTAAACAAGTTTAACTCAAATTAGGAAGATAGTGTAGCTTATTATACAAACAAAAAGTGGTACTGCGAAAGGGCAAAAATATGTATGAGGCGGAAGTGTGTATCTCCTATCCAGCATTTGGATGAAATTTTTAAATCCCTCTTTGGTCGCTGCATTAAAAGACGCCGTGTCTTTAGCGAGGTAGCAAGTTATGGCATTAGTTATCTCCTGGTGCCTTTGTGATGTTTTTTATATAGTGTAACAGCTGCAAACATCTCTGATATTGTACTTTGCTGTTGCTTGCTACTAGATGGAGTATCACTGGCAATACTTTAAGTTGACTTTTTAGCAAGATGCTCCTCATATACTGTAGCTGCCTGTGGTGATTTTTCAGGTGCTGGTTGTTGTATTTTCTTGTGATGTAACAACAATTCTGCGACAGCTCTTACAAATGACCTGTGTTTGTTCGTTGCCTGTGACTTTGAAACCAAGATATTCCCATATAACCAATGTCCTGTTTTTCATTGATATTAATTTGTCTATTAATGCTACTAAAGCAGCAGATGCCATCATCCCACACGTTCGCACTTTCCTGTTTGCTTGTTTTTTATTGAATGCGTTACGCATAGTTCGGCTGCTTAATTTTGATTGGGCAGAATGAAAGTGTGCTCACTCAATTGGCTAGGAAGACTGTCACACACAGACGGCATTCACGCATTTGCTTTGAGTGAGGGAAATTAAGTAATATATATTTCATATCACAGCCTCTTGCAATAGCTTATCGCATCATCGCATTTTCGTTTCAATCCAATAATTGTGATTGGATTTTGATTTATCAAACAGCCCTAGCGTATGCCTCATTGTCATTGTTGTAGGTCAGAAGCAAGCGCTAAGAATGTGTAGATTTTGAAATTACCTTAGATTTAGTTAATTAAGTATTCTCTGTTGAAGAAGCAAGTCTGATGTGTATGCATATGTGTAGATGCATGCAAACATTCTTAATAAAATTGAATACTAAAACAAGCCTGCAAGGTGCAATAGGAGATCTGGAAATATGCTATTGTTAGCCTGATAGCACTGAAAGCCTACATCCCATCATGCAAATCACCATGCAAATTGATGCCTCCTAAACGCATGAAGGCATCATCCCTACAATACATCATGTTACATTCCCCAGGGAGAGATCTTTATAGTATTATTATAGTATTACTATTATAATATTATTTTTTATAGTAGTGGTTCTCAAACTGTGGTGCTGCCTTCTAGTGGTATGCAGAGTAATCCAATTTGTCATATGTACATGCAACATATATTTAAAAATGTATCAAAAATGGCTCATATTCGAATATGATGACATATAGCCTACAGTTTATTTATGAGGTCCAAGCAACATGAATAGGATACTTGAGGTTAACACTTTACATTTAAGTACAGTAGATTTTTTTTACTTTTTAAGAACAGTAGCCTATCATTTTAATGAACTTTTAAAAGCACATTTTAATTTAAACTTTATTTAGTTTTTTTTACATATAAGTACAGCAGTGTTAATGTTCAAACTATTTATAAGGTTTAAAGTGGCTGATAATAATAAATATACTTTATCATAGTAATTAATCTTCCATATTTTTAAACTGTGCAGAGCTGTAGCTGCTTATTTAGGCCTATTACGCTTCTGTATTTCAATACTGGTCATATGGTGGTACTTGGAGGGACAATTTGTTTCTAAGGTGGTACTTAATGAAAAAAAGTTTGAGAACCACTGATTTATAGTATTATAGTAATTAAAATTCCAAAATAAAAATAAAAAAGAATGTAGGTTATTGATGTTTGCCTGCCTTTCTGTGCATAAGTACACCAATGACGTGACCCTTTCTGCACAAAAGGGTTGGCAGAGGTATGGTTCTACATCTACCATAGAATATTAAAATACATAAAAATGCATTTGGACCATTTCATTTAATGACTGCTATTGGGGTGTGAAGAGAATTTCAACAAACACAACTTTTTTTTTTTTACTACATTGCATCCTAAAGGACTGTGAATATTTTAAATAGGTTTGCCATCATGTTGTGTATCAGGTGGCATTAAGGGTTCAATATACTTACACATTTTTTCTGGCTTGTCTTTCCATTTTTACCGTCTGCATCTACTGTATATTTACACTGAACCCAGTTCTCCCATTCTCATGCCAAGCTCATGATGTATAGCCTTAAGATGTTAAGCCATTTAGTGAACTCAACTGTAATCAATTTGGCAAAACAAGCTCTGGTTACTGAATGGGGTCAGATGACGTTGTGTTGTTGTTTGAGGTCATTCCAACTGCCAATGAGGACAGGTTTTACTCTTACGCTGTGTCACTATGTGCTCTGTCACAGTTTTGACCCTGACATTTCGCTGCCGTTAATCATACTTGTTCTCAAATTAGCAATTTTTTTAGGTTTTAGCTTTGCAATTATTGTTATTTTCGTTAACGTCTTAACTATTATACATAGTTATACAGTGCATGTATTTACAAAAAGGTTTTTAATTTGAGCATTTACAAAAATAGAATTTAGGCTTTGTTCACGTTGAAAAAGACTGCAGGAATATTTGGCATGCTGCACTTTGATTCCTGCTGTTCTTAAAGCCATTCTTCTTAGTGTCCCTCCTCATTTAACATGACAGGTTTGGAGAGGCTTGACCTGTCTGGATTAGCTGAAGATACGCTGTGCTTAATGACCCCTCCAACTCTTAAGTACAAGCAGAGTATGATAGCGGTAGAGGTAGTGTTCATCTGTGACCCTCTTAGATTAAAATGTTTGTAGGTCACTCAAAGCACCAGAAACATTAGTGACTTAGACTGACAACTTCTTTTACAGCATTTTGAGAGCACTAGATTGGAAGCATAGTTGATTACCAGGATACAAACCAGTAGGTTATGAGGTCGATAAGAAGAGATTACAGAATGCACATGACTGTTGGTCTTCTTACGGGATTGTTTGTGTTTGTATTTAAGCCGAATGACAGCACTAATGTCATTCCTGGGACCATTTCCTGTCCAATTCTACAACCAAGCTCAAAGGGTCAAGGTGTTTGCTAAAAAACATGTCCCAGACAGTCCCTGCAGGGGACTTTTGTTATGACATCTGCATTGAATGTGATGTATTGTTGCACTTATAGGATATGCAGTGTGTTGCTCTGTTGATCAGCTGTTTTTGTTGTCAGCGTCACATTTGTGTTCTTTTTTGTTTGTGCTAATATGATGTTAATGACTCATGCAATCTGTTTTCTCTTGTGAGTACATTACATCTGCATCTGTTCATCATCATTCACAATTTTGTTGGTAGGAAATGATTCCTTGAACAAATGAGCAAATGCATCAGACGCTCCCTCAAGAGTTTTGCGTTAGCTGCATGGAGCAGGACATGGTTGAGTGATATATTAGTACCAGGTGTGAGGGGACTTTTTTTTTTTTCAATTTAATTGAATGATTATCATAGCTTGTAGACTCTGTGGTCTACAAGCATATGCTCCTTGTTAGAATTAAATTGATTACAGATCTGTAAAAAATGACTCAACAAATTGTTTAACTCTTAATTTTGAGTTGCCTCACTGATGTAACTTATGGCCCATTTCCACTTAGTGATTTGGTACGGTAAGGTATGGGTCGTTACGGGTCACCTTTATCAGGCTTGGTTTCCACTGTTAAAAGTGTACCAATAGATTTAGGTTGCTGAAAGAATCTTTTGCTCCTTTGTTTTTCTGGCTTCTCCTTTGTTTTTTCGCACTTCACTCTGCTGTTTGTCTATCCCTGAATGGATTAGATGTCAGAAGCACTTTAGTAATCATTAACCCCGTTATCAATATAGACGTTCAGCGAGCAATCATGAGACTGCCTCGTAAACAACAATAGGACAACATTTTTATCTTCTTGGCTTTATAGCTGCTCATCAAGAGGACGACAAAGTTTAAGCTCGGGTCAACCACTACTTATTATTATTATATGTATGTATTATAATGAAGTGATTTCTTGGTTGTGTATTTAAAAATGTTGCTTCCTTTGTTTTCTTTCTCATGGCTTGTACACATGCTAGTGATGTTTGTCTATAAACCAATAGTGTTCAGCTGTGCGTCTAGCTCCTTCTTTGGATAGAGTACCCAAAAAGTGGTACGGTGCAGTTTGTTTTAGGTACCTTTTGATCATGAAAATGGCCATAAAAGCATACCGAACCCCACCGTACCATACCACTCAGTGGAAACTGGTCATCTTAAACTGTTTGCTTAAATCAAGTAAGAACAATAAAGTGCTCCTTTTCAAGAACAGCAAAATAATGCACATGCTCTCTTTTCTCTTAGGCCCCCGCTTTAGAGGACTCTGGGAGTGAAGCAAGCTGTCTGGAGGATGGGGACTCCCAGCAGGAGGAATGTGGAGAGCAGCAGGACCACCAGGAATGGTGTGATCCGGTTTCTGAAGCAGCACAGGATACAAAAGAAGAATATTTCGACACACACCCATGGCACAGTGACACTTTCTCTGACTCTAGTCATGAAACTAAGTACTGCTGCAGGACCTCTGAGACTGGTGCTGTGGGTCATCTGGACTCACACGTTTCATTTGTTAAACCCACACCGTCAGCTAGAGAGAGAGATCCCTCTTTAGCTAAACGCCATCATGCTGTCTTTGACAGTCTCAGTGGGACAGTGGATAGAGTGCAATTGCAAACACAGACAGGAAATAACAAAACCATGCTCATGGGAGTTGATGGCACTAAACGAGAATGTGAGGAGGCTTTTATGAATTTTCCAGCAGGACCTGGACTTGATTCTTCTTCAACGAATGACCTATCTCATGTAGCAACACCCCTAGGGGATCTAAAGGACTCTGTAGAACTAAAAATATTCCCCAAGCCAAGTGCTAAAGACTCATTATTCACCATAACAGATGGATGTGATGAAGCCGAGTTAGGGGGCACCTTTGTTTCAACATCAAAATGGGATCAAACAAGTGCTCAGTCAAAACATAGTAAGCCACACATGCAGTTCATAAACTCAGACAAGAAAGAGTTACAGCAAAAGGATAAAAGTAATATGGAAATACCATTGATTCCAAATCCACCTGTTCTGAAATGTGCAGAAGCTGAACACAGTGAGTTACACAGTCAACATCATAAGCTAAATGTTGATGACACTGAGATCAGTTTATCTCCATCACAACACATTTCTGTATATGAGTCTTTATCATTTGAGAAGCCTGTTGAACAGAAAGTTTTATCATCAGAACACTCACTTCACTCAGTAGAGCACAGCCAACCACAGACATCAGTAGAGCACAGCCATCCACAGATATCAGTAGAGCACAGCCATCCACAGATATCAGTAGAGCACAGCCAACCACAGATATCAGTAGAGCACAGCCAACCACAGATATCAGTAGAGCACAGCCAACCACAGATATCAGTAGAGCACAGCCAACCACAGATATCAGTAGAGCACAGCCAACCACAGATATCAGTAGAGCACAGCCAACCACAGATATCAGTAGAGCACAGCCAACCACAGATATCAGTAGAGCACAGCCATCCACAGATATCAGTAGAGCACAGCCAACCACAGATATCATTAGAGCACAGCCATCCACAGATATCAGTAGAGCACAGCCATCCACAGATATCAGTAGAGCACAGCCGAACACATATGTCAGTAGAGCACAGCCAACCACAGATGTTAGTAGAGCACAACCAACCACAGATGTCAGTAGAGCACAACCAACCGCAGATGTCAGTAGACCACAGCCAACCACAGATATCAGTAGACCACAACCAACCGCAGATGTCAGTAGACCACAGCCAACCACAGATATCAGCAGAGCACAGGCATTCACAGATGTCAGTAGAGCACAGCCAAGCACAGATGTCAGTAGACCACAGTCAACCACAGATGTCAGTAGGCCACAGTCAATCACAGATATCAGTAGAGCACAGCCAACCACAGATATCAGTAGAGCACAGCCAACCACAGATATCAGTAGAGCACAGCCAACCACAGATGTCAGCAGAGCACAGGCAATCACAGATGTCAGTAGAGCACAGCCAACCTCAGATGTTAGTAGAGCACAGCCAATCACAGATGTCAGTAGAGCACAGCCAATCACAGATGTCAGTAGAGCACAGCCAATCGCAGATGTCAGTAGAGCACAGCCAACCACAGATGTTAGTAGAGCACAGCCAACCACAGTTATTTGTAGAGCACAGCCAATCACAGAACTCTGCTGATCACAGCCAGTCACAAGCTTCTTTAAACTGCAGCCAACCACAACTCTCAGAAGAATTCAGGCCATCACAAGATTTTGTTGAACACAACCAATCAAATAAAACTGTAGATCTCAACCAGTCACAGGATTCAGTAAAACACAGTCAGTTGCAGGATACAATGGAATACAGTAAAACACAAGCCTCAGTAGAGGAGGTTCCAACCAAACACAGCCAGACAGAGAATTTAGTAGAAGACAGGCAATCACAGTATTCAATAGAACACAGAAAATCACAGACATTAGTAGAAGACAGTCCAACACATGATTTTGTTGAACTTTGTCAATCAGGGCACTTAGCAGAACACAGCCAGTCAGATTGTTTGATAGAATGCAGTCAATCTACGAATTCAGTTAAACACAGCCAATCACAGGACACAGCAGAGCACAACCAATCAGAAGCTTCTGTAATCTGCAGTCAATCAAAGAATTCAATAGAACACGGTCCATCACAGGCCTCAGTAGAGAGGTCATCGCAAGATTTTGTTGAAGACTCACTAGAACACAGTCAGTCACATGATATCGCAGAGTGTATTCTGTCGCAAAATGTAATGGAACACAGCAAATCACAAGTCTTAGATGATGACAGGCCATCACAAGTTTATGTTGGAGACAACCAATCAGATAAATCTGTAGAAGTCAACATTTCACAAGATTCAGAAGAAGACAGGTCATTAACAGATTTTGTAGTACACAGCCAATCAGAGAACTCAGTAGAACACAGCCAGTCACAGGATTTAGTAGAACCTAGGCAATCACATGATTTAATAGAACACTTCAAATCACTAGACAACACAGAGCACAAGCAATCAGACATGAGTTATATAAACTGCAGTCAATCACAGGCCTCAGTAGAAATCTTGCAATCACACGAGTCTGTTGAACACAGCCAATCAGAACAGTCAGTAAAACACAGCCAGTCACAAGACACTGACAATTTTAGCCAGACACAGGATTTAATTAAGCACAGCCAATCACAGACTTTCATAAAATGCAAACACAACCAATCACTGGATGGCGTACAATATGATCAGTCAAAGATCTTAATAGAACAAACCCAATCACAGGATTCCGTAAAGGACAATCCATCCCAAGATCTTGTCAAACATAGCCAATCACAGGACACAGTAGAACCGAGTCAATCACAGGTCTCAGTAGAACACATCCAATCACAGGATTCCCAAGACTGCAGCCATTCACAGAACTCAACAGTACACAGCCAATCACAAACTTCAGTGGGACAAAGCCAATCCCAGGATTTGGTAGAACAAAGTCGATCACCAGCTGCAGCCGAAAACAGTCAATCACAGACTTCAGTGGAACACAGCCAATCACTGGATTCAGTGGAACACATGAAATCTCAGACTTCGGTGGAACACAGGCAATCACAGGTTGAATTGATTAAGGCACATTCCATGAACACCCGGTGGATGGTGACTGAGTCAGACACAGTAGCGTTTTATGACAAGGTGCGATTAAAACAAGACTGCATGGATGTTTGCGCAGATTGTGAAGTCGTTGAATCCTTGGGAGTTTTATCAAAACATGCTGACAATTTGAACTTCGAAAATAACGAAAGACTAAATTTCAAAACACAGGACTTAAATGACACTTCACCTGTTGTTTCTGAATACGAGTGTTTCCCACATGTGCCTAATGCATCTTCTATTGGAGTGCCAGATTCACTGCATCAGTGCACGATTAGCAATTCACCCTCAGACCTGCAGGTTAAAACTCAGCAGAGTTGGCCAGTATTACAAATACACACCGAAAAAGACGATTACTCAGTTAGTAGGTATCACATGGATGGTTACTGTTTGCAGGACAGTGAGCAAACAGAGTTTTACAAAACCTACCAGTGCCCTAACAGTACCATTAATTTTAATACACAGGGTGAGTTCACTGAAGCTCGGAAGGTTGTATCAACTGAAGGTGTATTTACTAGAGGTTGTATCAACACCAAACTTTTTGATGGCAAAAGTGTTGACATTGTAGGAGGACCGCAGAAGGACAGCAACAAGCATCACGTTATGAAAGGGAAAGAATGTACAATAGTTCCTTCAATAGAGCAGTCAGTAATTTACTCTGACAGTTCAGGATGCATAGAATATAAAAGGCCCAAAACGTTGAGCATTGCTTGTCCTGACATGACGACTGCTGAATCTGAAGGGTGTCCTGTAGACAGTCCTGTTGAATCACTTTCTACACTGTTTGAGATTCCACATGACAGATCTACAGTCAGCCCCACAGACATTTGCTTTGAGTTTAGTGATGGCCCTCATATGAACTGTACACAAGTAGCACAGAGTGTTATAGAATATTCAGATGCCCCCAAACTATTTCACCAGTTTGACACCCTGTCTGACAAACAAAGAAGACCTAATGAGTCAGCTGAAGCAATTGCGTCGAATGTTGATATTTTGTCTGGTGCACGTTCCGATCCTTTCACAAATGCACAGACTCCTTTTGATTATTCCCAGGTGAACAGCAGGAACTATACACAGAGCTCAGACACAAATAATAACATTAAAGCCATTACTTTAGAAGAGTGTGCCTCGGGAGTACAAATGTCATTGCCTAGTTCATTGCAGAAATACAGTAGGTTTACAAATAATGCTGAATGCTTAGTCTCAAAAAGGGGTGATTACAAAAACATTGATTCTTTTAGTGCTCGTAATACTCTGGCTACCCCCTTCAAAGCACCTGAAATGAAGACTGAAGTGAACAGCAGAGAAAATGTTGTGAAATCTAGCAGTCACATAGATGTTACACAGAGGAAGCTCTGTGATTGCTGCGGTGGAAAGGAGTGCCAGCTGCAGACAGCGGGTGTATTTCAGTTCAAGGGCACAGACGCCATCAGTCAGCGCAGAACTGCAGTGTTGCAAACCTTGAGTCCCCTCCACACAGATGACAGCACACATGAAGCGGTAAAAGTAGACTCTACAAGCTGTGAATTTTCACATATGGTCAGTTTGCTTACACACAAACATCCGAATCTTGTCCAAGAAGACTTCGTATTACCACTGACTGGAGCTCATAAGGCTGATGATACTCATGTATTAGAAAACATGGAGAGAAAGCATGAAACTTTCCCAATAAATGCTCTTAAAAGCACTGAATCAATATGTGAAACTTCTGATCCTCTTTTTAAGCAAACATTGCAATTGCACAACTCGGAGGTTGAGGGCGCATTTGTTTCATGTTGTCATATTTTGCCCATCACCAACTTAGAGGCCATTTTAGAGACGGACCGTTCCCCGGAGAGCTCATTTGCAGTAGAAAATGAACTGGATGAGCAACAGAGAGGAAGTCCTTTATCAGAAGGTGGATTAAATGAGGACCTAAGCTCTTGTGAGGATGTCAAAAACCGCCCACATGACAGCAGTTGTGATATGCATACAAAAGCCAATGTAGCCAATTTCATGAATGAACCCGATGCTGGAGAAACAATGAACTCTTTATCAAATGGGTTTGACAGCAGTGATGACCATAGTGTTTCCAGTTTGGTGTCACAAGACCTTGACTCCAGTACCAACAGTGAGGAGACGGAAGACACCATGCAGCCATCGTTTGGTCTTCGTGGTAATGCGAGAAATAAAAGAACACAGTCAGCCAAGGGCTCTATGTTTTCTGGTTTGATTCGAATGCCCACCTTCCGCAAGCCAAAACGAGAACTCAAACGCAATAAAAACAGGGTTGATCCGAAAGTTAGGGCATCCAGTGGGGATGGAGATGAACAAGATGAGATGAAGAACAACAGGTCACCCACATGCAGCAAATCTCACTCTTCACTGTACAAGACCCCTATATCTCAAAGTGCAGATCACCTTACTGATATTACAAAGCATTCTGACCACTCAAATGATGATGTTTTTGAAAGGGCTTTTGCTTTAAATGTGCAAAATAGAGAGAAACACATGCAACCTCAACACCCGTTTGAGCAGCAGCAGCAGAAAGATGGAGATGCACTCAGTTTTAGAGCTGGCCAGACAACAGAGGGGTTGCAACAAAAAAGATGCAAGAGCATTGATAACTTAAACTTACGCATGAAGCTGGCATTGGCTCACAAGTCTATTTCTAGCCTGTTTGAGACCAGATATCCTGAGAGGGACCAAGAGCAAATCTTACAGTTAGAGAATGAGGATGGGAAAACCAAGCAATCATGGAGAAAGACCAAACGATGTAACGAAGCAGAACTTTGCAAAAGAACTCCTGTTCCTGGGACGGTCTGTGACAAGTGCATACATCAGAGCCAAATTGATTGTGCCTTCTGTGCTTATCAGAACCGGTCCATATTAACCAACTTACCAAATGTCCAAGCAAGATTGAAGAACACGTGCCATTCTGACCCGCAGAGTTTGAAATCTGCACCTCAGGAAGGGTTTGAAGATGGTAAATATCTGGAGGAAGGTGAGCAGCCTTGTGGTGCTTTCTCAGATTCAGACCAAGCATCGGTAGATGGTTTTGAGTCCAGTGTAGAGGACAGGTCGCTGTCACCTGCACACCCCACTGTTCTTGCACTTTCAAACCAAATGTCACCTACCTGGACAAGGTCCCTAAGCTGCTTCGAGACAACTGATACACCGACAAGGCCCATGAGCCCCAAACCACACAGTCCTGGTCTGGGCTGGACACAGCGGAGGAGCTTCCGCTACCCCTCAAGATCTGTTGCATCTTCTCTCTGCTTGCTTGGTCAGGGAGTGAGCACTGACGGTCTCTTAGACCCACCTCAGAGGCCGACATCTCTAAAACCAAGGACAACACAACTCACCACAGCTCACTCCTTCGATTCTGAGTACTTACTGGAGGACAGCAGTTCAGACAACCAGTCTCAGAATAGCCTGAATTCAGCCTCCCTGATCAGCAAAACAGAGGTGAGTTAATCATGAAGTTTACAATGCTTGGAGAACTTTAATTGTGTCCTTTGAAGATGTATGAACTGTGGGTGTTGAACTGTTTAATCACTTTTTATATTTAGCTTTGTAGTTCTATATATCTGCTTTTTTTTTTTTAAGCTGACCCTGTAGGACTCGCAGTAGAACACATGTTTGATGCCTCTCTTTACCTAACAGCCTTTAGTTTCCCACTTACAAATTAATTAGTTTAAATTGGTGTGTTTTAAAAGCAAGACATACAAAATACACAAAGTCTGTATTCTGACTGATAATTAACCATACTTGCTGTTTTAATAGTGTTGTATGCAAGTTTGCAAGTCACAGTAGGGCAAGGGTGTCTAGTACTGTCTTGTGAGGGCCATTTTAGCTTCTGACTTTTTTAGCAAATCTGAGGTTCTTGATTTTCTGGTTCAGGTGTTTATTATAAGTGTAAAAGCTAAACTCTGCAGAACAGCGATCCTCTGGAGCAGAATTAAATAGGCTTGCTTAAGAGCTCTCAGTGAGATGTGGCATTGACAGTGCCATCTAGTGGGTAGAATTTAGAATCATATTTGTCTGTGTATCTATGGCTTCATATTGAAAAAAATAATTTGTACGCCTTTTTCCCCACACCATTTAGGGCTTGTGTCTTGCATTGGCAGATTTGTTATTCTTGATTATGAGTTTTTTTCAAATTTGGGGGATTGGTACATTCACAGAAATAGAGTATAGGGGATGTAACTGGGGTGGTACCTTTTTATAAGATACAAAATTGTATTCAATGGGTTACATTTACAGAGGTTATATTTTCAAAATGTAACTAATTATGAATAATCTTGTAAATCACTTATTAATCATAGTTCACCATGCACTAATGAGTTATTAAAATCCAAATTTGGTAAAATTAGGTAATGCACAGCGAGTTAACATTTACTAATGTTACTTCACTTTAATCATATTAAATAATGTTTAAAAAGATGAATGAATATGGTAACAAATGTATTACTAATTGTTTGTTTGTGTTAGTAAATACATTAATTAACATTAACTGACGGACCAGTATTTTAAAGTTTTACTCTTAAAGGGTTCAAATTGGTAGCTAGAAATATCCCATTTTTGTACATTTTAGGTACATACATCCCACCTCAGTGACAGTTACTATATTTCTTATTTCTAAGGGTATGCAAAGTCTTGTATGCTTGCCAAGACTGCATTTATTTGAGAAAAAAGTGTAGTCAGTATATTGCGAAATAATATTTCAATTCAAAATGAGTGTTCTCTTTGTCAGTTTATTTAAAAATGCTATTTGTACCTGAGATCGCTGATTTTTTTTGCATCATTATTTATCAGTAATGGGTCACATGATTCTTTAGAAATCATTATAATATGCTGATTTGTTTATAATAATAATAATAATAATAATAATAATAATAATACATTCTTATTATTAATACAATGTGTTTAAAACTAATCTGCCGATGCATTAAGACAAAACACACTTGACATTTGTAATATATTAAAGCATAGGTTTGCATTTTAAATATGCTAATTTATACTTTTATCTACTCAACATTATCAAAAATCAACATTTGACAAGCTTAATTCCATAGTGGACGTCCATTTTAAAACACCTGTACAATAACCACCCTAAATTTGCACTCAAAGCATGTACAGCACATTACTGAAGCAGAGAGAAGACCACAAGAAAATGCATGTGTGCTTCGGGTGAAGTCCAGAGATCCAGGTACAGCTGCGCCCAGGCCTATGTCAGACCTGTACGGCTGGACCATGTCTCTTCAGGGCACCAGAGAGTTGGCGCTCGACTTGGAGAGGAAGACTAACGCACATCAGCGCTCATGCTCATATGAAACATTGACCGATGTGGATAACATCCGCAAAAAGAAGCTAAGCAAGCAGCAAAGTTTGCGGCAGATTAGCACATCAACATCTGAGAGGCATGAGAAAGTAAGGAATTCTCGGAAAATGGGGAACCACTTGGCCATCAGCATCTCCCACTGTACCTTTTCTTCCTGTCCTGCTTTCCTCCTGTTTTGCACTCTTGGACCCTTGTAGTGTCTTTAGGATTTTTTCGACTTCTCTTCTATTTCTTGTGTTTTGCCTGAATAAACAAATATCTGGCCAAACACTTTCAGCATTACAACTTCTACCAGTATCTGAAGTTTTTAAAATGTATTTTATATATATATATATATATATATATATATATATATATATATATATATATATATATATATATATATATATATATATATATTTTTTTTTTTTTTAAGTGTATAGAATTTTATTTTGTTCTGTTATGTTTATGTTTTATCATGAGCATGTTTGTTGTAATTTATTACATATTATTATTATTATTATTATTTATTTATTATTATTATTATTATTATTATTTTAGTAGGATGCATTATATGCAGTATGCACAAAATGATATTACTACTACTACTACTACTAATAATAATACTAAAATATAGAAAATTTATTTATAATAAAGGCCAATTAGAAGTATTTTTTATATTATACATATTTATACATCTACTTAAAAGTACCAAAGATTTTACTGGATTTATCAGCTAAAAAAGCTAAACATTTTCTATCAGGTTTAGATCAGGACTTTGGGCTGCCATTTCATTATTTCAGTGTTTTGAGGTTGAAGGAACAGCTTTTTTCATTTTTACTGTGTAACTGGGCTCACTGTCCTTCATACAAATTGCTGGCTTTTTAGGTGATGAATGCAGGGAATGAATTATATAATACTGAAAGAGCTTCTGATGAATATTTGCATTCATTCCGCCACGAATGCTTTAAATTACATTTTACTTTTCTTTAACATTGCCAAACCATGACACCTCACCTTCACCTTTCACACATTTTTTTATACACTTTGGGTTTGGGATTTTAAAAATAATAAAATATTGAAATATTTTACATATTTAAACATCCACATAAAGTTCTGAAAATTTCTAAGATTTTACTAGAAATACTATATGAGATAAAAAAGCTTAAAAAAATGTAACAGGTTTAGATCAGGACTGGGCTGCCATGTCATCATTTCAGTGTTTTGAGGTTGAAGGAACAGTTTTTTCCAATTTCACTGAGTGACAGGGCTTGCTGTCCTCCTTAAAAATTGCTAGCTTTTTGGGTGATGAACGCAGAGAATTAACTGTATAATCCCGAAGGAGCTTCTGATAATTGTTTGCGGTCATTCTGTCATGTTGCTTTAAGTACTCTTGTTCAACATTGCCAAACATGACAACTCACCTTCACCTTTCACACACTTTTATACACTTTTGGATTAGGATTTTAATAATAATAATATGATTGAAATGTTATGAGCGAAGACTGTTATGAGTTATAAATGCCTCAGCGAAGACTCGTCTGACCCTGGAGCGTCGCTGGAATCAGACTCATGTTCTCCACTCCCCACGACCATCAGCGCAGCAGCAGCTCAGGATATGGCCTGGTCCTGGATATGGAAACGTTGGGATCATCTCGTCGCTGGTCTTGGATCCAATCAGTGACTCCGCATAATCTGAGAACCTCGGGATGAGTATCCCCAGGTGGAAATAGAGAATAAAGATAATAATTAGCGTAGCTGCTGTTCATAGTGTATATAACCTAACCTGACACTGTTCATAGTGTATATAACCTTACCTGACCTAAAAATCAGGTTTAGGTCAGGACTTTGGGCTGCCGTTTCATATTTTCCAAGTTTTCAGTGTTTTGAGGTTTTTTATACCCTTTGGGTTCAGGATTGTAATATTGATATTATTGAAATATTAAACATATTTATACATCTACTTATTAGTACTAAAAATTGTAGTAAAAGTAGTAGTAGTAATAATTATAGTATTAATAATGTTTTTAGTCATCATGTTAATGCTCATGGTAAAACAAACATATATATTTCTCTTATTAATTATTTTAAAGGGATAGTTTAAAATGAAAATTTGCTCACTATTTACTCAGCCTCATGTTTTTCTAAACCTCCAAAGCTGAAAACCTGTAACCACTGACCTCCATAGTAGGAATACTTATAGTATATCTTAGTTATGCATAGTTTTTCTTTTTTTTAAATAGCTCTTATGTCCAGTGTTGTGTTTGTATTTATGAATAATTCATGTAGCATTGTTGTCCTTCGAGACACAGCATTTTGTTTCTCTAATTTGTCCACACATAAAGTGGAATGACAATAAAGCTCGACTTGACTTGAAAAATAAATACTATGGAAGTCAATGGTTGCAGGTTTTCATCGATTCATCACAATAAATAATCTCATAAAGGTTTTTGAACAAGTAGAGAGTGAGAAAATCATGTCAGAGTTTTCATTTTTGGGTGAACTATCTCTTTACATAAAACATCTATATTCTTTTATAGTTAAAATGTCTTCATTTATTTATTCATTTATGTATTTATTTTAATCTCATCTGTAGTTGCGAGCTAGACTTTCCCTCACATCCCCGGAGCAGTTCCCCTCTGTTCCTCTCAAAGACCACTTCTTCTCTCAGAGCACACCTGTTGGGCTGGACTATCTGGGCTGGGCTCACCGTGCATCCTTTTCAGGTAAGGCACATTAGCTTTTAAACCCCACTATACATCGCACCACCACCTTTTATATGGCACAGAGTAGGTTGATGCACTAAATTTCTTCTTGTAAATCTGGGTGAGCTTAAGTGTCCTCCAGGGGGCAATGCTTTCCTTGGTTCAGCAGCCTTCATAACCCTCTGCTAGTTATTTATAGCTCTGTTTGTGACAATAGGAGCTCAGATACTCACAGATGTCTTTGACGTAAATTGTTCGTTTTTCATCATCAAAAACCAACACTTTTGCTTTGATATACCTGTATGTAAACCTGAGGAGGTTTGCGCTCAGCTGTAGCTGCAAACAAACTGTTCACTTGTGACGAGCGATGAATTCCACCTACAACGTGCGATGTCTTAAGAAGAAGCTTTATTCAGTGTTGTGCTTACGTAGCTGGAGCACAGAGGCGATCTTTGTGTGCTAATGCATGGAGCGTGGAGCTCAGAGGCCCCCAGTGCTGATCCTCTCTCTTTCTGCCAAACAATCCTGCTGATTATTTCTCACCCACTCACTGGCGCCAGGCCTTCTCTCACTCACTCACTCACTCACTCACTCACACTCTCCGCATAAAGGTAGACCTGGAACGGCTCTACAGTATAACCTTCACCCTTACAGATACTCACATACTGTACGCTCACTGTCAAAAGGGAGACTTTCTTTTAGGAAGCTTCTCAATAGAAGAGTAGCTTTTGATTGGATGCTACTCTTAAATAGTGATCGGCTGACCTTGAGTTTGACTGCTGTTATGAGCATTATATTTTTATGAACAACAGAAAACCTTGACTGAATCTGAGATGGTTATACAGATTTTTCATAGAGATAATATAATATTCAACATCTAAAATTTGAAGGCATTTTTTTTTTTTTGTTGTGGCTTTGTTATGCTAGTTTGCTAGTCTCAGACATAGTTTAACAGGGAATTACTTGCCTCTCACAGTACATAACTATTCCCTCTCAACACATCTCGATCTGCTTTTCTTCTGACTCTTTCACAGATCACTGACTGTAGTAGATTTATTAGCTAAAAATTTGTTGACAATGATAATTCAGAGATTTTCAATCAGGTTTATATCTGGGCATTGGGCTGCCATTTCATTATATTAGGGTTTTCAGATTCAAGGAACAGCTTTTTCCATTTTCGCTGAGTAACGGGGCTCGCTGTGCTCCATAAAAATTGCAATTGTATAACCCTGAAGGAGGCGACGCAGTGGCATAGTAGGTAGCGCTCTCGCCTCACAGCTAGAAGTTTGCTGCTTTGAGCCTCAGTTGAGTCAGTTGGCATTTCTGTGTGGAGTTTGCATGTTCTTCCCGTGTTGGTGTGGGTTTCCTTCAGGTGCTCCGGTTTCCCGACATGTTGTATAGGTAAATTGAGTAAGCTAAATTGTCCCCAGTGTATGAGTGTGAAGGAGTGTGTATGGGTGTTTCCCAGTGATGGGTTGCAGCTGTAAGGGGATCCACTGGATAAAACATATGCTGGATAAACTGGCGGTTCATTCCGCTGTGGCGAACCCAGATTATTAAAGGGATGAAGCTCAAAAGAAAATGAATGTATGAATAATCCTGGAAGAGCTTCTAATAAAAATTCTCAATTATTCTGCCATGTTCAACTCTTCTTCATCATGACACTTCTCCTCCACCTTTCACTCTCTTTTTTATGCATTTCGGGTTCGGGATTTTCCCTGTTTGATAAAGAACATTATGTTTGCTGTTGCAACTACATAAATTAAACTTACTTTCTTTACTAAAGTGAAATTTGGACCACTTCCCTGTCCACACGACATGCTCCTCAGCAAAGGTTATAGTCTAGTTTTTTGATGCTTTCTACTGATGGTCTAGTTTCAGTACAATCTCTGTTAAATGTCAAGACTTTCTATGACACAGATTTATACCCTGTTCTGTTCTGAGCTGCAAATCATTTCCTACAGCAGCAAACAGCCTTTAGTGACATTGTGAAGATGCAGTATTCTAGAAATCGCAGGTTTTGAACTCTTGTTGTGGCTGAAAACCTTATATACAGTGCTCATTATAATTGAGTACACCCCATTTTGAAAATGAATATTTTTATCCATTTGTCAGTGGTTTTAGGCAATGTATTTTGGTGCATTTAAACAAAACAGATTTATTTAACAGATATTTATTAAAATAATTTTTTTTGTCATCAAACCTATTTAGAAATAGAAAGATAATACAATTACATTCAAGCAAAATATTGCAAAATAAATGACAACCTACACAATTTCAACTAAACTTTTACATTTTTTTTGCTTCTCTTGATTTTCCTTTTTTTTAAATTAGTATTTAATATATTTCTATAACATAAGTTTGGATGTACTAGTTTTTAGACCGATATTGTAAATTATATTGTTAGATTAGCTCCAGATTTGGTTTCAGTACTAACTAATCTAACGTATATGTGCAAATCTGGAATATTGTATAGCTTCCTATAAAAAACAAGTATGAATTTAAAATATAGATTTGTGAGGGGTGTACTTATATATGCTGAGCACAGTACTTGTTTGTTCTTCATATGCACAACCTGCTGTTGGAGAGTTTTAGTCACTTAGGCCTCAAGTGAAGTCAGTGAAAACTGGAAAGTGTGGGTCAGTAAAACAGGGCTTGTCAGATAATTAAAGGTGCCATATACTGCATTGATTCAATAAACGAAATTGTTTTCTGATATCTACATAGTAGGTATGTGCCTTAGGTAAGCTAAAAAAAATCTCCAGAAATTGTTTTATATGCTCATTTATTACTCCATAAAATGCCCAAAAATCAAAAGCTCTTTATTGACCATATTCGCAACAGTCATGAATATTAATGAACATGATGTACTCTGATGTACTCTGAAATAAACACATACAAAATAATTATACTTCACTTGTCAAAAAATATTTTACATTTTTGAAGATTTATTTGACCTATAGAGTGAGTGATCTCTTTAATAGAAACACATTAGAGTAACCCATTTTACCTATTTAGCTGTGTTGTTGATAATGTAGGTTAAATTATAAATAAACTCAACTAAAAATACTTTAAAAGACTCTATTTTGATGCTATAATGCAAATTAACACCCAGCCAGGAATTAATATGTGCATAAACAGATGATGTTTAACAAAGTGTGTTGCTGTTTTTAACTTCAGAAAAATTTCAATAAGAGCTGAGATTGTTATTAAATTGTGCATTTCAAACTAAGTGCACATTTGCACTCAGCAGTCAATGGGCCCTATCATACACCCGGCGCAATGTGGCGCAATGTGGCGCAAGGCGCGGCGCAATAGTCTTTTGCTAGTTTAAGCTTGGCGCAAGGGTCATTTTGAGGCGTTGCGCCACACTGTTTAAATAGCAAATGCATTTGCGCTCAAATGTGCGCCCATAGGCGTTCTGGTCTAAAAAAGCAGGTGTGTTTTGGCGCGTTGCTATTTTGAGAAACTGTAAATAGTCTGTTCATTAGACCAGAAAAAAGTCGGTCTATTGTCTTGGCAAAGTGTGCCTGGCATACACACTACACACAAGATGTAGAGCAATACACAAATATCTTTACATATGAAAAAGATATAATATATTAAAGATATATATATATATATATATATATATATATATATATATATATATATATATATATATATATATATATTATATATATATATAATAAGAATATATATAGGATATAAATATAAATTATGAATTTAAAAACCACTGCCTTCATACTTTCTTCATCTCGGGAGTTTTTTTCAGTTCATTCATAACAATTTGCTTTTGTATAATGTTATTATTATTAGCAGTATTATTTATTATATCCATATTTATATTTTTTTTATTAAAAACAAGCTTAGATTTGTCCACCTGTCCAGTTTTAGACCATATGGGGCATGGCAGGTGTATTTGAATAACTCAGTATTTTGACCACACTTTGTTATTATTAATCATTTATTCGTTTGCTGGAAATTAGAACTGAATTTAGAAATAGTTTTGAAACAAATATTTGCACTTAACAAACGAAATTAATTATTTATAGGCTAATTGATGTCTGTGCGGTAAGTTTTCCCTATCCACGAGAGCAAAAGCAAAAGTTAACTTACTTTACCTCATGTTAATAGCAATGCGCTTATGGCGCGTCGCAGCTGGCTCTTAAAGGTAATGGGAGATGAGACTCTGATTGGTTTATGCTCAAAACACACCTATAACTCATTAAGAAAATAAACTCAACCCTTTTAGACCATGCGCCATGGCGCAAAAGCGGATTTCCCAATCCTTAAGTTAGCAAAAATGCATTCTGACCCTGCGTTTTGCTCTATGCGCATGGACCGTCAAAATAGAGCCCAATGTGTTTGTTGATTCATTTCAAACATACATGGCTGATAATACAATAAACACAATAAATTGATACAATAAAATACAATAACATGATACAATAGTAATGTAAGAATAAGAATAAAAATAAATAATGATACAAAAGATACAATAAAAATACCTTTTGCCTCTTTGGGCTGGAGCTAAATAAATTTATAATTCGAATATCCTCCATTTCACATCCTGACACATATGCGAACTGATTGAGTCGTTGCATAGCAAAGCATTTAAAATTGGTGCTGCTGCTTTTTGCTGTATCTATTGTTTTTAAAATAAAAGTCCCATGTACATATATAATTTGGGGTGTGCATATGTATGGTCCTATGTTTAAACATATCAATGGCTGCTGAACTTTTGATGATGCGGCTGCTCTTCTGAATAACATAGAATGTGACTTAAAGTAGGTACATGCAAATGCAGAGGGCATATATCCTTGTGAACAACCCAACAGTCTGTATTGAGTTCTGTTTATTTTGACTCTTGTTATACACTCTTGTAATTTACATGAGAATGAGGAAGCAATGATGTTTGAGGCTTATGTTATAGCCTTTTTCATATACGGATTTCTTTTGATTTTACTATGGCTAGGTATACCATGTTTTCTTTTTAGGGCACCTTAAAAAGACATTTTCAACAGGTACCAGATTAACTCAATTGACTGAAAGGAATCTAAAGTAATGTACAATAATGTGCTTCAAAATATGTGAACAAAACTCATAAGGTATGCTTACACAACTACTTATTTAATCCTGTTAGAATAGCGTAAAATGGACTAAGCAGTGAACTCGTTGATCTCTAATATTGATTCTTTTCTGAAACTCTCATCTGAACTAAGACTTCTTGATCATTTGTGTTTTACTGTTCAGTTTATTTATGTAAAACATTCCTCCCACTATTGAAGCCATGACATGCTTTGTGTGTTTTGCAAGGCCTCTGAAAGCACTGCCTTATGAAATATGGATTCAAATGAGGAGAAAGACACAATGACCTCGTTTTGCTACTTGCTGACATCATGCCCCCTCTACAACCTTACTTTACACCACATGACAAGCCAAAGGGGCATTTCTTTTTCAGTTATGCTCATCTAGATCTTGAATCTTAACTTGTTTTTTTAGTACAGGAGAGAAACTAACTCTGATACATGCTGCTCTCCACAGAAACGAACCTCAGCGCACCGGAAAAAGAGGCACATGGACAGGTCGCACCTCTCGGTGAGTTTACTTTCTCAGCTAAATCTTGAAACACAGTATGAGCTTGTACTTTTAAGAAATACAGTGCTGGTGTGTTGAAGATATACAGGAAGAGTGGAACAGTTGATCCTGGTGATTTGACTGATGGGTTTAACATATTTTCTTTACTCTTTTTATGAATATTGTTTATTATGGCTTAACTTGTGGATTCATTTTATGTATGATTTAAACCAGAGATAATATATAGTTCTCAGCATATATAAGTACACCCCTCACAATTCTACCTTTTAAATTTATATGTTTAATAGGAATCTATACAATATTACATTTGTGTATATACATTAGATTAGTCAGTACTGAAGCCAAATCTGGAGCTTACCTAACAAAATAACCTACGAGAACGGTCCAAAAACTAGTACAGCCAAATGTATATGTTATAGAAAAATATTAAATACTACCAAAAAAAGGAAAAATCAAAAGAAATAGAACAATTGAAAAATTTAGTTGAAATGTTCATTCATTCATTCATTTTCTTTTCGGCTTAGTCCCTCTATTAATCTGGGGTTACCACAGCGAAATGAACCGTCAACTTATTCTATCCAGCACGTTTTTATGCAGCGGATGCCCTTCCAGCTGCAACCCATCCTTGGGAAAAGTTGAAATTTTGTAGGTTGTTTTTTCGAGTACTTTACTGTAGGAGTTTACTGCAGCAGAAAAATAAGCATGTTTTTTGTTGTTATTGTTTGTATAGTAATAAAATGAGCAACAATTGTTTTGATAAATATGACAATTATAATAAAACACTAACAATAATTCTTTATTGTTATTTTTATTATTCTTATTTCTGTCAATTGCTTGTCACTTTTCATTTTATATTTTATATATTATAAAAAAATATATATATATATATAGTAGTATATAATATAGTATACAATATAATAAATGTAATTTTATACAAATATATATTTATATACAGATTTTTAAATACAGTTTTTTTCTCAATGTTATTTTTAACCTTTCATCTATATACATTTGACGACAGAATTATTAGCTAATAATTCAGGGGGGCTAATAATTCTGACTTTAAGTGGATAACAAGGTAAAAATTGATTTTATTTTTTTTACAAATTATGATAGTTAATAAATACTCAACAAGGAAACACAAAAATAACACAACATTCTGGCATGATATATTTGGTGGGGAAAAATATATATGTATAAATGGAAGTCATAATTATTAGAAATATTACAAACTGCTTTTAATCTAGCCGAAATAAAACAAATAAGACTTTCTACAGAAGAAAGAATATTATCAGACATACTGTGAAAATTTCCTTGCACTGTTAAACAGCATTTGGAAAATATTAAAAAAATAAAACTAAATTCAAAGGGGGGCTGTTTACTGTATATACAGTTAAATAATTATTTGCCCCCCTATTTTTATTTTTTCCCCAATTTCTGTTTAACAGAGAGAATTTTTTTCAACACATTTCTAAACACAATAGTTTTAACAACTCATCTCTAATAACTGATTTATTTTTATCTTTGTATCTTTGCCATGATGACAGTAAATAATATTTACTATATATATATATATATATATATATGTGTGTGTGTGTGTGTGTGTGTGTATTTATTTAACACTGTTTCTCTAAACTTTTCCTGGCCTCCCTGCTGGCCTCCTGGGGGTCCCCAGACACAAGTTTAAAACCCCTTGATCTAAACCAGCACCGGGTCAAATCTATTGAATACAAGAATGTGAGGAATGTTCCCCCGAGTTTTATCTTTGTCCTGCCTCCAGCTCCCATGTTATGTAAAGTGTAGTCACAGCTGCAAGGGTTCAAACAAGTCAAAATTCTCAAGTCTGAGTCCGATGAGAAAGGCCTGACTGAAACCGCATTCCTTTCTATTCATAGTCCAAATATTCTGTGCATTTCCATGGAAATCACATCCTTTGGTGTTCGATCAGCACAAACACGCCTCTGCTTTTATTGTGACAAACAGCCACATTTCTGGGCTTATCATTAGTGTGATCTCAGCTAATTGTGGGTTAAATTCTTAGAAGGTGTTTGCAACTCTCAACATCGCTATAGTGCTCTCTCCAGGCGCTGTCTTTTGGTTTACTAACAGCTTGGCTTTAACAGTGGAGGAGGGCGACTGAAGGGGGGACTGCAGGGGAGGAGGAAGGCAGTCCATTTCAGCGACAGACCCAGTGTTCTGCATTGAGCCATGCGAGTGGTTGAGTCCTCCTCCCCTTGGAGGATCCCCAGTGATGCCAGGCTGTGAGCGCTTGAGCGTGTGTGCGCTTGAGAGAGAGAGAGAGAGCGAGAGGAGGCTGATTGTGTGTCTGGGCGTTTGTGTTGAGCCGTGAGCTCTTTGAGACTGTGCATCCAAGAGTGAAAGTAAAAGAACGAGCGAGGAATGAGCGAGGAGGGCTGAGGCTGCGTCATACACTCGAGGCTCGGAGAAGTGCTTTGGACTCTACACCTGCCGAGCGAAGCGGCGCCACCCTTCTCCCTCTGGCTGTGCGTCCACATGCGCACCCAGCACAGTGCCGGTGAGGTGGGCGTCCCGCTGGCAGGAGGAGGCTGCAGTGGTGGCAGCTCAGAGCAGTCGCCTGGCTCCGACTTGGACTGTAGCCCCGCTCTGGGACTGGCCGGAGGAGTTCGAGCGATAAGAGGGGTCATGTCCCATTACTGGAGCCTAGAGAGCCTGCACTCCACCAACGGTAAGAGTCCCTCACCTTTGGACCTCGGGTGTCATCGCTTTGAGCTTGACGTCAGTTGACTCTCATGCGGCGGGTGACATCCAGCCTCTGTGTTGTGTTTTGTGACAGCTCTTGTTCATTGTGTTGCAGTCTTTCGGTCAATGTGATGGCATTGTCTCCAGCCCTTGATGGGCAAACGGAGGTAGCTGAAAGAGCCACTGTCTCTATGCAAATGTAAACACGTCTTGTCAAAGCAACAGGAGCAACTGCTTTCCAATGCTGCGTATAGAAGAGCAACTTGATCTGCTGTGGGCGATTGGGATGAGCTGTTGTTGAATGAAGATGTGCCACTCTTTTTGCCGTCTGCATCCTGCTTAGGTTATTGCATTACTGTCACGGATGTCATCTATTGATCTATGTTGCTGCCGGCTCGTAATTGGTTAAGTGGTAATGTTGTGGAGGGCTCTGTCAAGTGTGTATATTCCAGATATAGATGGATAGCCTAAGAATGAAGTGACAGCATTCCCTGCGTTCAGCAGTTGCACATACTCCCTTGTAGGATAACAATGTGCAAAATTAGCATGCGCTGAGCTTTTCCACACCTTGTGATATTAAACAATGTGTCATAATCACGTCATCGTTCGTGATAGTATGTGAAGCACAGGCTGAGGTAAAAATATTTGAGGTGAAAACAACACTGCACCCTTTTGCCTCAGTGAGAAGAGCTGCTGTATTGATTATCACAAATTCTTCAGGTTTCCTTACTAAGAATAGTGACTGCGCTGGCACTGCCCTGCACTTCCGTATAGTAAGTCTGTGCAAATTGAGCCAGAGATGCAAGTATTTTGGTCTCATTATCTTCTCTCAGGGTTGGCATGGTGACAGACAAGCCAATGACCATCAGCCTAGGTAGAACTGATGTCACAAACGGCCACCGCTCCCCACGTCAGCCGCAGTTTGGATGTTTTTCTCATTTTCTGCTTTGTCCTAAGAGAGATGGGATGTGACTTTTCCTCTGATGGAGGGAAATAAATGGTGCACTGTGAGCTGGGGGCAATAGCTACAGACATTTCAAACAGCGCTGTCACCTCGTCACGGTCCGCTGACCTCATTACAGCGCTCAAACGCCATCCGTAGCTGATCGCAGAACAAAAACTGGAGCGACACGTGAGAAATGTTCTGAACTGAAAAGCTCTCATAAGTTTGAGTGTTATGTTAGTAATGGTTGATTAGAGTTGTTTGTGCACAAATCCCAGGCCACTTTCTTGGCATCTCTACACACATAATGAGAGGTAGACCGGATACACAGAACTCAAAAGTTGTAAACTGTTCATTCACTAAGCTGAGAAGCTCTCTACTGTGTTGTTGGGGAATAAGAACTGTCTTTTAGTGTAATTGCTGGTTGAGAGGTCTACAGTAGGTACTGTAATACTTGAAAAAAGATACACATTAGCATTTCCATTCACTTCAGCAACACTTGCTTTGGTGACACAGAATCACACAGATTTCTTTGAGGAGCTTTCAGAATCAGAAAGAGCTTTACACAGTGTTTACATAAAATACACAGATTTGCATATTCACATTTCATCATAACAAATCTACCACAGATCAACTACTAGTGAATGTCATATAATATAATATAATATAATATAATATAATATAATATAATATAATATAATATAATATAATATAATATAATATAATATAATATAATATAATATAACAAAATATATAATATAATATAATATAACATAATATAATGTAATGTAATGTAATAAAATGTATGTAATATAATATAATATAATATAATATAATATAATATAATATAATATAATATAATATAATATAATATAATATAATATAATATAACAAAATATATAATATAATATAACATAATATAATGTAATGTAATGTAATAAAATGTATGTAATATAATATTATATAATATAATATAATATAATATAATATAATATAATATAATATAATATAATATAATATAATATAATATAATATAATATAATATTAAATAATATGAAATAATATAATGTAACAAAATAAAATATATAATATAATATAATATTATATAATATAATATTATATAATATAATATAATCACGTAGTTAAAATGTAATTCTTTGTGGAAACATTTTTGTTTTAGCAGAATTACTCTTTTAAATGAATTTCAATCGAATAAGGAATCATGGTGGCTCAGTGGTAAGCACAGTCACCTCACAGCAAGTAGGTCACTGACTTGAGTCCTGGCTGGGCCAGTTGGCATTTCTGTGTGTAACAGCCACCAGCACCAGACATAAAT